GTTTGGAATTAAGGTAATTGTGTGACAATATGAAGTTTGAAGAGATTTTCTGTTAAAGTTGCTTTAGCTGGGTTGGTTTCTATGTGTGCAGAAAGAGGCCTCATTGCCAATACAAATATTGATACTAAACTGCAAAGTATTACAACAATAGAGCAGTATTAAGACAATGATATAGTAAAACATCAAAATATAATCATGTTAGTATTGTAAACACTGAGCTATTGAGATTAAATATAAAAAAAATGGTGCATTACCAAGTTGATTACAGCTGGGGGCAGTATTGGACCATTACAAGGTCCCATTGACTCTCTTTTTATGAATTTGGAATAAAGTTTAAACATTAATATTTCAAAAACTATAAGTTTTACAGGCACCAAAAGACATAGCCATCATTTGGCACAGGGGCTTTTCAGATATAAATTACAATGGCAGCTCTAGGACAAAGTTTGCAGGAGGAGAAGCGTGGCAAAGTMGAGATGACTTGGATGGGAAACGAATCACAATAGTGTGCATTGCATTGGCAATGCACACTGATAAAGAGAAACATGCTGGAGGCATTCACACTATTGTTTCCATAACACCATCTGCTTTTGATTTTTTAACTTTAATTTTGCATTTATTTTTGTATTAATAAAGCAACTCCTTCACCTATTTTATTACTTCTATTCATATAAAAAAGTCCATTTTCTATTTGAATGTTATTTATATTTTCATCATTGAGCACCAGGTCTATAAGACTGCTATTATACTAAAATATCTGTTTTAATCGTCTTATTTTAGATGACTTTGCTTTTATATTTCTATTATTCTTTGATTTTCTAGTGATAAATCTGACAACAGCCGGTTATGCATTTTCTATTCTATCAGGTAAAGTTTATTTTCTAAAAATTAAAAAAATAGTTGAGTTAGCTTTTTAATGTTGCTGTTATTATAGTAACACAATTAATAACATTAATAACAACCCCCTATTATAAATTATGAGATCTCTGTTAATCAAATACTTTTATATTATTAATACAGTGTGTAATGTTGATATCCTCTTTTATAATTTTATGTTTTGATTTGAACTACCTCCATGGGGCGGATGGATTCAGAGCTCCCCTCCCCCACATCCTCGAAGATCACTCCGCTGCTCCTCCGGTTTCCTCCTCTTCCTCCTTCCCGTTGTCACTCACGGCTGGAGAAACACGCGCTTCCACCTCCGTCCCGCTCCTTCATCAAATAAAGACAAACACACAGCAGTAAGTATGGCTGACAGCCGGGGTTTCAGTGCGGGAACGACTTGTCGGGACTATTTTTACAGGAAACTCGTGGAAAWGAATCAATGTCAGAGCTGGGTTAGCGCGTGTTAGCATGATAGGCTAGCTAGCTAAAGCTGTCTGCTGACGCCGCTCGTTGCAGCTGTCACGCCTCCCTTCAGTCACCTCCTGTGACTTCTCATTTAAATGTCAAATATTTTATCCTCTTTTAATACGAGCAGCGTTATGTTAGCTTGTAATGCTAATTAATGTAGCTGAAACCGATCTGACGCTGATAGGACACTGCTAACTGTCGATGTTAGCACATTTTTTTATGAGACTGCGCAGCTGAGATTAATTAATCTGAGGAAGATATAGATTTTTTGAAGACTTTTAATTGTATCTAGATATTAGTCTAATTTAAAAACTCCGTCTTTGTTGTGCGTTTTTATAGAAAAGCAAACAGAATGAATATTTTATCAAAACCATGGCTAAAGGCTAATTGCAAAAAACATGGCTAAAGGCTAACTGCAACAAAACCATGGCTAAAAGCTAATTGCAAAAAACATGGCTAAAGGCTAACTGCAACAAAACCATGGCTAAAAGCTAACGGCTAATGGCTAACTGCAACAAAACTATGGTTAAAAGCTAACTGAAACAAAGCCATGGCTAAAGGCTAACTGCAGCAAAACTGTGGCTAAAGGCTAACTGCAGCAAAACCAAGGCTAAAGGCTAACTGCAGCAAAACCAAGGCTAAAGGCTAACTGCAGCAAAACCAAGGCTAGAGACTAACTGCAGCAAAACCAAGGCTAAAGGCTAACTTCAGCAAAACCAAGGCTAAAGGCTATCTGCAGCAAAACCTAGGCTAAAGGCTAACTGCAGCAAAACCAAGGCTAGAGACTAACTGCAGCAAAACCAAGGCTAAAGGCTAACTGCAGCAAAACCATGGCTAAAGGCTAACTGCTGCAAAACCAAGGCTAAAGGCTAACTGCAGCAAAACCAAGGCTAGAGACTAACTGCAGTAAAACCAAGGCTAAAGGCTAACTGCAGTAAAACCAAGGCTAAAGGCTAACTGCAGCAAAACCAAGGCTAAAGGCTAACTGCAGCAAAACCAAGGATTACAGCTATACAAAACCATGCCTAAAAGTTAACTGCAACAAAATCATGGCTAATGGCTATGTGTACAAATCCAAGGCTAAAGGCTAACTGTAGCAAAACCGTGGTTAAAGGCTAACTGTAGCAAAACCGTGGCTAAAGGCTAAATGCAGCAAAACCATGGCTAAAGGCTAACTGTAGCAAAACCGTGGCTAAAGGCTAACTGTAGCAAAACCGTGGCTAAAGGCTAAATATAGCAAAACCGTGGCTAAAGGCTAAATATAGCAAAACCGTGGCTAAAGGCTAAATATAGCAAAACCG